GTTTTAAGCTTGGCAACATCCTCGAATGAAGGAGAACCACTAAACACAATGCGAAACACCAGGGACTGATTGGATAAAAAATGCTGACCACCTGTTGGCGCTGAGGGGCCGGAAAATGAGTCACAGGACGCCAAGAAAAATCAAGAAAATGGCGCATTCACAGAAGCTCAGAATGAGTTTTTGTAAAAGCTGCACAGTTAGCTTAACTGTAGCTTACAATCGACTCCAGAAAGTGAGCGATCGCCACCTACCGCATCCAATACAGATAAAATACAGTAGGGTTGTGAGAAACACGACGTTCGAACCATATATTAGGGTGTCCGGAAAGTTTTGAGAAATTCAACCAGCTCACTTAACACTTATCAACAACAATAAGAGATAGTAGTTCATAGTTATAATAAATATTGTCCATCCTATGTCCCTTACCTTTTGGGCGGGATTACCTTGCGTGGGAGCTAGAACTAAGCGAGTACTGAGAATGAGGGGCGTACGCAACATCTAAGCTAAACTTCCATGGAAGAGACCGATTGATCTCCTAGTATAGATGATTTTGAAGCGCATTTTATCCAGCATCGGAGGCGGTTCCTCATTCCCGATTTGACCGATAGAGGAGCCAGAACGGTGAAGATGAAGTAAAAGGCGTTGAGAGTCGTGCGCGCTCGTACATTTTTCAGGTAATGTCAAATCATACCAACAATGGAGAATAATAACAACCAGCATTAGTATTGATCTACAAACATTTCTCTTTCTCATAGCACTTGATATATGACTTTCTGTTGGGGCATTCGCTTGCTACACTTCTTCAAACTAAAAGTGTGAAATTTTCTCAAAACTTTCCGGACAACCTAATATCTGCCTGACTCTGAAGGCACAGCTTCCTGCTGCAGCTCCGTTATAGGGCGGCAGCTTGCCAAACAAGCTTCTCATGAATCACGTCTGTTATTTCCTTCTGCACTTCAACAGCACTGCATTCTGAATTCTCTTCCGGAATTATGATTGTTATACAGCTGGAATGCATTAGAATTTATCTAAGGAGAAAAATTGTTGCCCGATGAAATTGTGTCGCGTTAAGCTGTGATGTTTAAGCGCAATGATCGCGACGAAACAGGATGTCCTCCCTGGCTTTCACGTGGCAACGTGCCCACAGTAAAGAAAATGAGATAATGGTCCTACAGTACGAATGGCAGGTGAATATGTGATCACATAGAGGGGGGGCATGCTGCAAAAACTGGCGCCAAAGTTTTCGACATAGGACCCCCATTTTTTTCCATTTGCCACGAGCGAATTGATTCGTTCTTGATGAATGTCACTTGTGCTGTCATAACGATATCGCTCCTTTCACCCTGCTCTAGCTATTCTGAATGAAAGTGACAGAAGCGGGACAACCACTCCACTAACACTCCATAGAAGCAAACGAAGCATTTGGTACGCTAGTGGGCGATCATTGCCTTCGTAGCGATGAGGTGGCGCCGTAATCACGGCCTTTCGAGCAGCAAAGTAACATGCGCAAGGGATTATCTTGGATAGGGGACGGCGTTTGCATGAACGTGGGGCACACCTTTAATGCGTAGTATAATCTCTTCCCTGTGATCCCTTGCACAACACGTCATCTTCCCATTCGTAGCGGAGTTTGGTCGATGTCTGGGCGAAAGGATATGCGTCACAGTGGGATCCTGGCACACAAAGGGGAGGGCTGTCCGAACATAGGTGTGCAATTGCTGCAAATGCTGATTCGGTGGTATCGTAGTCCTGGTGCTCCGTGCCTTTTAGCACCATTTGGATGGAAAAGTGGGGTGTCGTTTAGGTACCAAAATTCATGGTTTTACCTTGACTTTGAACAGAAAACTGCCCCCTTAGAGCATTGAAAAGCCTCAGGGAGCGTTATTTACTGATTTATCAGTGCGTTAAACGGTCACAGAGATAATTGGTAGCTCATTGATGAGATGGTGAGAATGAAGCTGTAAAGCGGACGTAACAATCGGCTTCTTACATTTCGAAAAACTCATTATTCAAGAAAAAGGAACAACAAGGATGTGGTCACTTGGTCAGTGTCCTTAACCCACACTGCATTTGTAACCATTTTTCCAGGAATCTTCGACACATGAGGCAAATGCCAGTAGCTGCATGACGAAGGGGCGTGTCATCTACGGGATGAGTCCGGAGCGTGCCAAACACGTTCTCCATCATTTGATGCAAGACTGTGCCATTCCGTTTGTATCACTCGTCTTCTACCAATTGTTGTCGCATACCCGCTTCTACAGCTGGCAGAGAAGGGGTTTGGACCCGTGGCGAACCCATAATGCTACACCCACCTTCTTCCTTCCAGCGAACGCTAAGAATAATATGGATATATCCTGGGCGAGACCTGGCACGTTTGTCTTTGCTAAAAGCACGAGAGGGGGGGGGGTGCTGGTTCAAAGGAGTCTAATAGAAGGTAGGTACAGGTTTAGTTGAGCTGCATTTACTCCTACATTAATTGATGGCCGTGAAAGCACGAAAGGTTCACAATGAAGGAGCCTCTCTGCAAGAGGACCAGACCATTGATCATAAACAAATGCCAATACGTGAGAAGGTTCTGGAGCGGGAAGATGTGGGTGGAAGGGTACGATGTAGGGATGTGTAGCTCATCGCTTGACTAGGAAGCAAGAAGAGGACACAACTCGCTAGCAAAAACTGGCAAGCGCTCAATAGTAAAAATGACAAACTGTGATGCTGTTTTGATTGTGGTAATAGTTTCGCTATATAAGACAGCCGTCTAGTACACGCCAAGCCACTGCACAAGCAGCTCGCGTGCGGCTGATGGCGAGCTCCCTTGTATGGTTAACTCTATCATCTTGTAAGGTTATCTCTATCTATTACGATCCGATCAAACCAGCGCAGTATGAGCAGCTAAGTGATTTAGCAAATTCCGTTTCCATTATGAAGCACGTGTGGCGAAACCAAGAGAGAAGGAGGAGAGCTCGACGTCACCTGGACGTCACTGGTAAAGCAGATATTCCATGAGCTCCAAGGAGTTGACAGATTTTACCGTGGCTGCTCGACGAGCCCCCCCCCCGCTTCATTAGAGTTCACAGGTTTTCACAGGACTTTCCAACCGAAAACTAGTGAAGCAGCGAGAGTGCGACCCCCCCCCCCTCCCTACCGTCACCGAAATGCGCCGAATTTCAGCCAGCCCAAATAGGAACTGTTCAATTAACGATGTCACCAACCCAATACTCTGAAATAATACCAGTTCTTGAAGCGCAAAAAGTAACGAAAGGTATAGCGCCCCAGTTCCGAATAGTATACTGTCCGTATGGCATTACTCTTCCTGTAAGCCAGCGTTTGCTTCTGCTGACGCACTAAAAACTTGATTGCAGTGAACTTCTATCACAACTTTGCTTTATTCACAATTGCGAAGAGACACACCTTTTCTACTCCTTTAAGTTTTTCCGGTCTTTTTTGCAATCTTGTCTCCACGATCTTGCGCTCAGCCTTTTGTAACCTCAATTGTTCCTCGGATGGAGGGAGGTATATTGATGCCACCTGCTCAACGAATCGAACCTAAATGCAAGACTTCTTTATTCGCATAATAAATCCATGACTCCAGTTTCCACGTACAAAGAATCTCGGACTAAGCCCATCAAGTGAAGCGATCGTCATTCGGGAGCGGAAGACGAAGAAGCGGGGCAAGGTAGCCGAATACCAAAGCATCAAGCGAACTGGGTCTGGGAATAACTGCTACGACCAAAAATCGAGAGGCTGCCTTCATATTTTGCGTCAGCTTTTGGAACGTACGCACAGCTGCTGTACGCGGTTCGGCAAAGTAGCCTCTTTAGCTTTTGCGGCAATCGTGAAGACACCAACGTACGCTCAAAACGCTGACGCAAAGTATGAATGCAGCCTAACATTATCAAAATATTAGTATACTTGTTTCCACAGAAGAACTTGTTGTCCCCAAGTTTTGATGACAGCAAAGAAATATTCAAAGCGCCTGATAATCCAAGTAAACAGTTGATAGCAAAATAGCCCAAAAAACGCTGCTACCTGCAATCCGTCTTTCATTATGGAGCTAATGCTCTTCTCTGACAGCAAACGTTGAATTCGCTTTCGACGTTTTTTCGAGATAATAAAGATTTTGTCTAAGGATGAAATTAACGGAGAGAACTCAGTAATGCGTTACCGTGTTGTAGTTCAAATCGTCGCCCCAGAATGTGTGCATCTGTAAATGACCTCCAATCAGCCTGTGATCATACTTTACGTAAGCGTCTGATTTAACATACCGTACGCCCAGGTTTGAGCGAACAGAAAAGTCCGGATTTCGAAATCTAACATTTTGAGCGTCCCCCGAGCAGTTTTCAGCCTTGCCCGCCGAAAGTTTAAATAACTAACCGCATAAAGTCAAAACAGGCCAAATCGACACCTCATGCTTTTTCCTCTTCGCTCAAGATTGCTGACGTAAGTATGAACACTTAAAGCTTTTAATAGTAAATCATCGAGATCTGGCCTCTGGAAATAAGATAAAATGTGACAGGGAATAAGAAAGCTTAACCACGCGCTGGCATTATGTATTGCTGAAGGAAACAGTTGAATGCATCAATCTGTGAACGTTCAGAAGGGGTCAAATCTGCATCGATCACTACCTCCTGACCACTCTTCCTCAGTCAACTATTACAATCTAAAAGACACAAATAAAGCCCGAAACCAAGAAGGTTCCACACAAAACAAACAGAGCACAAAATATGAATTCGAGGCCACTTACTTGTCAAAATTGGTAGTGATTCTACCCTGGTTCGATTAATCGAAGAGAACTGGATACTCGCCTACAAAGAAGAGACTTTGCTCGAGACAATCGCAAAGACCGCAATGATGCGCAGCAACGGTTGCTGAGTTAAACAGTCATCCGACGCTTCACACAGCGCGACGCCCTAAGATGGTCTGTCCTCATTCTCTAACATTGCCCCGTTTCGGGGCTTCACAGTAAGTGATGAAGGCGCTGCGGCCCTCACAATTGGTGGTTCTGATGCCACACTAGTTGACCCGCCCGTCAAAACTCAAATTCTATTTTCTGTCTTGAGTGCAGTCTTTACATGGGGTTCGTTTTCTTTCGCATTGCTAAATGATCTCTGGGAAGGTCGTCAGTTCGAAGTGGCTATTTGTGATGAGATGTAGATCACTAGACGTGGATTTGGACGCTGATCTTGAATCTGCCTTAACCATTGCAAAGCGATCTCTGAATGGAGTCGCATAGAGCGCGTTTACCACGCAACAGGTGATGGGATCGGATCCCTGCTGAGCTTAACTTTTTTGCTTGTTGCGCAAACGTAGCAAAAAGTTATTCTGCCGTCACTACTAGTCTCAGTTCTCTACCCCAGCATTGTTGGAAGAATAAGTTTGGCCTCATTTACTATGGCGGTGGGGTTGTTGACTGGACTCCTTGTAGACTACAGTGCATTACAGTGCTTCTAGAAGGAGTCCAAGCGCAGTAATAAATGGAGGCAAACTTTTCTTCAGACAAACTGAGGTGAGAACTGAAGTAGTGACTGCAAAATCACTTTTTACCACGTTTGCGCAACAAGCAAAAAGTTTAAGCCCTCAGCAGGGATCCGATCCCATGACCTGTTGCGTGGTAAACGCGGCTCCATAACTCCGTTCAGAGAATCGCTTTGCAAATTTTGAAGGCAGATTCAAGATCAGCGTCCAAAACCACGTCTAGTGATCTACATCTCATCACAAATGGCCTCCACTTCGGAACCTCCGACCTCCCTAGTTAGTGTTAAATTCGCAAAAAATCACTTGGCTAGAGGCGGCAGGATATACTTTCTGGTTTGAAAGCTCGAGCACGGTCGCGGAGACTTCGTCGACTGCATGGTTTTTTACTTAGGGTGTCCTCTCAACATTTATTCATGTCCCGAAAGATCCCATTCAGCGTACTCATAGTTTGTTATTAAACCTCATTATCCGCAATATGCAAGTGCAGGATTTGTCTTTACGGAGTAGTTTACGACGGGAATATAGGAGGATAGGAGAGTGCACGTAACGAAGGATGGGTACATATCGGCGGCCTGGGCCATCAGCGTTTTAGAAGAGAATGAGAAACGGAGAATAGGTGACGATCAATTCCCGTCTGCTCTGAACACCTTAAAGGCAGTTGGTACGGTAAATCCCCCAAGACGACTAGGATCAATACTCCTGGCAGGATAGAATTCCGCGCGAACAGACTGGCACACGGCTGCATCGCGGTTTTCCCTGAGGAAGGTGCCCTTATAATGGCCCTATCAAGCTGCAACATTCCGACCCAAATGCCCGCCCGCCCACAAATGGACGACCGTTCCTGACGCTCGTATTCATTCACTTGCTAAGCAAATTATGAAGCGAAGGGATTGGTATGATGCTGCATGCATACATGGGTGCACATATGCAGCCGTATCTTCGGTAGCGGTGATTGGTAAGATGCCTACGAAAACTCGTCCGAAATCGATTTACAAGTCACTGAGAACGGAGGCTTTTTTTTCACAGGATTTTGACCGTTTCACTCCGTTCTTCCACCAGTTGCCCACTATAACGCCTTAGTAGCATTTTAGGCCGAACACACCAAATCATGTGCCAACTGCCTTTGAACAAAGGCACGTCAGTGGATTACCTAGGGAGTCGTATTTGACCTGAGAAAGATTTTTTTGACAACTCTTTTTCTTCTATTTCATGCCCGCTATCCTCATAGTGAGTAGATGCTATTATGGGGGTGAGGAAGTGGCAGGTTCGTATTTGCCTCACGCTTTGATAGGTGGTCTTCCCCGCTCTGAAAATTTTTTTTTCGTGTGTGCGAGAATTTTCTACGGATTGTTGACTTCACGCAGGTTTTTGCAATTTTTGTCGTGTCACATGTATCTCCTCTCCCCGTTCAACTAAAAAATGTAGGAAAAAAAACTGGCAAACTAAGAACTCAAAAATTTCGGAAGGTCCGGAAAAAATGGCGCGAAGCTGGAAAAATTAGGAAGACGGTAGCAGGAAGTCGCAGCAGAGGAGGATCATCGAGGAGGAGGGGGGTCGTATCTTGCAAAATCCAGGAAACTGGTAAAAAGTTTGCAATAGAACGTGCAGTGGCTTCAACAATAGCAGTGATTGCAGAAGGCGACACCTCATCAAAAGCTAGCATGGTTCTCCTCGCCCTGCGATATAATACCATTTGATGAACTGCATTTTGCCAAAGACTAAATACATAAGGTGAATTGAACAGTGCTGGTGAATATTAGGCTGCGCTCATAGTTTACTTCAACGTTTTAAGCGCAATGCAGCGTGTCGAGTGACTAGGAAAGTATAGATATCGAGACCTAGCGTTTCAAGAGTGCGCAAGTGTTTTCAGCGTTTCGCGTGTAGTCGCTGAAAACGCTGGGCGGTCGGTCCATAATGCGTAAAGCGTAGGAGGTCAAAGCGTAAAAGTGTAGCAGTGTAGGTATCGCTGGATCGATACCTACACTCCTACACTTTTACGCTAAAGCTAGATCGATTCCTACTGCTCGAAACGCGGCGTACACTCGAAACGTTGACGTAAAGTATAGACGCAGCCTTCGTCAGTATTCCGACAACTCACCAGTTGGTGAATTCCAGGGACGGCTTGAGTAGACCACAGTGACTGGGCTAGCACACATCTTTGAACATGCCTAAAATCGATGAAATTCATTACAAAAAGTGTTAATTAGGAGCTTTCTCACCAAAAACTGGAGGCATTCTACATCGATGGACGGACAGACGCAAAAATCCGCAGCTCACCAGACATGCAGCTCGCATCGAGCCACCTTTAAACACCCAGTTTGTTGTAATGTGCGTTCATACTTAGCGTTAGCTGTTATTGTTTGATAACTGCTGTTTAACGCCGCAGTACGCGATACGAAAGCTATCACAAGAATGCTGAGTTATGGGCAAAAGTCGGACCACGGACGGGATTCGAACCCGCATCTTCTGCTTACCGGGCAGTTGCGTTCCCTATTACGCTACCGGCCACTTTTGACCAGTCAGCTCTGTTGCTATCAAGAACGCTGCGAAACACATAGGCTGTAAAAACGCTAACGCTTAGCGTTAGCGTTTTGGCAGCCTATGCGTTTCGAGCGTTTTGAGCAACAAGGAATGTGTAGATAATAAGGCTGCGTTCATACCGTGCGACGAGTCGTCAACGTCGACGAAACCGACGACTACTTCGCGAACATTAGATACGTATCGATTATGGAAAACGACGAAACTGACGATTTCGGCGACTGTGCCAAGAAACAGCTTTTCGTAGATGGTTTTCCCCCACAACATTTTTCACATCTATTTACATCCTTTTCTGGTTGTAAACAATTTCCCTATCTCCTTCCATCCTCTTGAGTGACCTTACAACCTATCTTCTTCATTTTCGAGAGAAATACCATGACATCGATTCCACGTGGCTTACGTGGAATCGATGTGGTTCCCAGTATATAGTCTATAGTATATAGTAATCGAGAAAATCATCACTCAAAATTTTACCCGGGTGCACAGCGTGCCATCGGCCAAGGTATGAATACTAAGCGAGCGAACTAAAAGTGAACGATTCTGCCGGTAATGGTGTCCTCCCTCAATGTACTGTTGATGTCACGGACAGCTGCTGTGGCTCCAGGGCTGCGGGGCCATTGATAGAAGATGATGACTTGAAGATACTTCTGTGAAAGTGACATCGTAATAAACCCAGGGAAGACCAGGCGCCCTCACACGACTCTTGCAGGAAAGCTCCCAAAAAGTCCTACAAGCATAGCATGTTACGTTATGTACGAGCATCGAGAATCAAAAACTCTAAGCTTTTCGAAAAACACTGACAGGACTTTCCTTCCAACCTATATACACTGGGAACCACATCGATTCCACGTAAGCCACGTGGAATCGATGTCATGGTATTTCTCTCGAAAATGAAGAAGATAGGTTGTAAGGTCACTCAAGAGGATGGAAGGAGATAGGGAAAATTGTTTACAAACAGAAAAGGATGTAAATAAGATGTGAAAAATGTTGTGGGGAAAAACCATCTACGAAAAGCTAATTCTTGGCACAGTCGCCGAAATCGTCAGTTTCGTCGTTTTCGATAATCGATACGTATCTAATGTTCGCGAAGTAGTCGCCGCTTTGAGTCAGGTTTCGCCCAGCTTTCGTCGTTTCGCATCACTTGTTTCGTCGCTTCTGTCAAATCGTCGGTTTCGTCACTTTCGTCGGTTACGTCGGTTTCGTAGGTCGAATCGATAGGTATGTAATCTTCGTGAAGTATTCGTCGCTTTCGCCGCTTTCGTCGGTTTCGTCCGTTACGTCGGATCGATACGTCTCGGGCTCTTTTCCTTTATTGTAGAGTTAGCGGCGAGTCTGACACGCCTCATCATTCCCAGCGAACAGGACTACAGAAACTGCCAGCAGTTCTTGAGTTTAGCCAGAAGAGCATTTATAAGACCAACTGCATACTGGAAGGCGAGCACACATTACAGCACTCGAATTAAGGTAGGGAGAGAAATG